CAACCCCACCCCCCAGCCTCTCCAGAGAGAGGGGACGGAGAGAGAGAGAGAGACACTTGGAACCACGGAAAGAAGACCGTTTCTGGATCCCGGCTCCTTTTTGCCCTCAATCCGGGCCTAATGCTGTAACAGACCGCGCAGGTGGAGCGACAGAGCGCAACGCACTGATTGAGAGCCGGTGAGGGACAGGGCGGACGGGAGAGACGACGGGATTGTTCATTCGCCTGGAAACATGGGATGTACACTGAGCGCCGAGGAGCGCGCAGCTCTGGACCGGAGCAAGGCCATCGAGAAAAACCTGAAAGAGGACGGGCTTGTCGCCGCCAAGGACGTCAAACTGCTTCTGCTCGGTAAGAGAAAAGCCTTCACGGCAGCGGGGCTGTTGCGCCCCAGCGCGGCATGGCTCGGCTTGTCTGTAGTGGGACTGCATGGGGCGGAGGTGCTCTCCGTGGTACTGATTTCACTGCCGGCTCTCACTCTGTCCGTTTCTCCACAGGCGGCGGAGAGTCCGGCAAAAGCACCATCGTCAAACAGATGAAGTAAGTGTTTTATTTTATTTTATTTTATTTTAACCTTCTTCGACACAGCCAGAGTGAAAGGCCCGAGATTGCGCCTCCCCAGTCTGTGCTAAGGCAGGTCGAGCCGCCATGTTTCGAGAGGCCGTAGCCCCGGAGGAGTGCCGGTGACTGGAGCACCTCCTGTAGAACGACAGTGACGCTGCGGAGGAGGCACCGGTGCCTCCCAGGGCGCTGTTCACCGCCTGGGTGCTGAAATGTAGTTAAGGAGGGTTTTACTTGACTACAGCTGGGTGCGACTGGGGAGATGTGGGTGTTGTTCCTCTGTGTATGTGTGTGAATTACAGTGAAGTCATTACAGCTCCATTAGTGAGTACCTCTGCTTTTAATCTTAATGGCTTTAAGTGCCCGATATCGCCGGGAATACTTTGCCTATAAAGCGGATTTACGCAGAAATATGGCTTCTAAACCCGCATCTAAACCTTCCGCTGTCAAAGTTAAATCACTCTTTGATGTTTTAAATCACGGTTGCTGTCATCCCTAGACCTCTTAGTTTAGTTTCTAGATGTTGCAGTTCAGAAAAAGCACGATCTTTTTGTAGATTTTCTCCTGTTCATCATATCTCCCATTTTCCGTGGGTTGCCTGTCTCTGCTTAGTCTTGCTCAGTGCATCCTGGCCTGCACCGACTGCGCCTTTTCCCCCACGCTTACTTCTCCTTCCTTCACCTCGCTGCCACCCCTGTGGTCTCTGGTTGTCCATAACTCACCGCCCTGCCCTGGACTTGAGACACAGGACCAAATAGTGTTTACAAACACTCTGCAGGGTTTGTTTTAACCCAAGCAAGCAGCAGATGGATGGGTTTTACTGCGGGTAGTGGGTCATAAAGTTTAGGTATTGGTTGGTACATTCGGTGCGCTCTGCTGTGATTTGTCCACTCCTCATCATGGTCACATGATGGTTCAGAGTCTCTTTATATTGTTTCACCCAGGCCTGGCTCTTATATTAGAGGGAAATTCTACCTGATGTAGTTTCACTGCATTGTGGGTGTGAAAAAGAGAAAAGGGAGCCTGGAAGGCAACAAGAAACATCTTCACAGCTGAGACACAGTGGCATAGATTTAATTCAATTAAACAGCTTCATGGTCGGGGGATGTAGTACAGTCGAAATGTCAGTGGTGTCTCTTTTCAAACTTTTCCATTTATGAGATTGTGACCAGTCAGTTAAGTTTTCATCAACTGTCTACAGAGCTGAAACAAATAACCCTTTAAATAATAAAAAAGAGATCTGCTATTAACTACTTTGATAAGTAGTTTTTAAGCAAAATGTCAAGAATCTTTTCATTCTAACTTTATTAAATGTGGGTTTTTACACATCTTCTCACTCTGATATGATATTAAGGTGAATATCTTTGAGTTTTGAACTGTTGGTTAGACTAAATGATTAATTGAGAAAATTACCTGCTGTTCAGTCAGTAAAGATTTTATGTCCGTTGCTTCATTAACTGTATAATAATCTTTGGCTTGTGAGGTTCATTCACTTGACATTCTTAATTAGGTGAATTTTACATAGACATTATTTTAAAACACCTCCTCATTCGATTGTTGCTCCAGGAAAATATTTAGTAGAGGTGGTAAATCGCCAAGATCCTCACACAACAACTCACCTAAACCTCAGTCACAATTATTTTAGAGCTGAAACAATAACTTAACTAATCAATCAGTTGATTCACAGGAAATTAATAGGCCACAATTTTGATGATTGTATCAACATTTTTTGTTTGTTTTTAGCAAAAATACCAACCATTTGCTGGTTCCTGCTTCTTAACTGTGAAGATTTGAGGCGTTTCTTTGTCATACACGACAATAAAATGAATATCTTTGTGTTTTGGTGAGATGTTACCTTGAGCTGTGGAAAATTAAAACAGGCCTTTGTCATATATATAGACAAATTGAATAATTAGCATATAAATTGTTGTTAAAATTGCTGTTGGTTGCAGCCAAAATAAATTAATAACGTGTGAAACTGCACCTCTGTTTCTACTCACTGAGGGGGAAATGTTTTATTTCATAAAGCTCTGCTACTAGAAATAGTCTGATTCAGGCCAGGTGATCGGCCTCTGCTATAAAATATCTTTACATAACCTGCACTGATGAGATGAATATAGGTAAAAACCATCATCTCTTATTTGTTGTCCTCATTAAACATCAGTCAGTGATCACAGAGGAGGAGCTGCTGCAGTTTAAATGTAAATTTAAGGTCAGCTTCAGGAGATGTGGCTGGTATTTTGTAGATTCAGTATATCTGACATCAGGATGAGGGTTCACTGCTGACCAGATTATAAGGAGTTTAACTGTGTCATACTGGATGTAACAGCATAGTCCTGTGTAGTGTGATTGATTAGTGCTCTGCTCTGGTTCTACTCCATTGGCCCTCATAAATTATAAATGGCTTAAATATCACATTACTGTCCAAGCACAGATCATAGTCTGAAAAATGTGAACTTCTGCCCCATTACACACTGACACACTTAAAGACGCATTTAAGGACCTTTTATTGTGAAAAGGCAGTTGTCTAACATGTGGGCGTGCGACTTTTTCTGTTTACACTTGTGTCTGTGCTAATATCTGTGTGCGTATGCAGGATTATCCATGAAGATGGCTTTTCTGGGGATGACATGAAGCAGTATAAGCCTGTGGTCTACAGCAACACCATCCAGAGCCTGGCAGCCATCCTCCGAGCCATGGACTCACTGGGCATTGAGTTTGGAGACAAGGATAGAAAAGTGAGTCTTCATCCTCCACCTGAAATGTTCACCTCTAGACAGCCTAGAAAGTGAGATCTTATCTATACAGCCATGAAATTTGGGGGATGAATTATGATAGTGCTAAAGTAGGACTGAATTTAAGAATGATCAGAAGATCATTTTAGTTCATGTTTCTCATATATAATAATTCAGTTTGACTTTTAATCGGTTTGTAGTGCTAATTTATAGAAAACCATTGTGTTTAATGATGCATTAAAAAAACCCCATAACATTAGAGTAGATGATTTAATTTTGTTCCTTTTCCTGTGATCTTATGAAATGTATTTGTCCAGGCTGATGCTAAGCTGGTTTGTGATGTGGTCAGCCGTATGGAGGACACTGAGCCGTACTCAGCAGAGCTTCTCACTGCAATGAAACGTTTATGGGCTGATGCTGGGAGTCAGGAGTGCTTCAACCGTTCCCGGGAATACCAGCTTAACGACTCTGCTAAATAGTGCGTAGAACAAAGGGACCACAAGAAACCTTTGCAAAAAACCCACCAGTCTTCTAACCTTCAGTCTTCTTGATCTCCCTCCCTGTTGCCATCAGCTACCTGGACAGTCTAGACCGGATCGGGGCGACTGACTACCAGCCCACAGAGCAGGATATCCTGAGAACCCGAGTGAAGACCACTGGCATCGTTGAAACCCACTTCACCTTCAAAAACCTCCATTTCAGGTAACGAGGACATAACCGCTGCAGCATCACAGCTCACAATGGCTCCGCTTCTGTTGTCAGCATTTTGTCTAAGATTAGGTTCAAGGATTGTAGCTCTGTGTCTGAGTTCTTGCCCTTTCTCCAGGTTGTTTGACGTGGGAGGTCAGAGGTCAGAGAGGAAGAAGTGGATCCACTGCTTTGAAGATGTGACAGCCATTATCTTTTGTGTTGCTCTAAGTGGATACGACCAGGTGCTCCATGAAGATGAAACAACTGTAAGTGTGACTGTTCATACACTGTGAATCCCTCTGGTGCTTATCTCACGGTGTTAAAGGCTGATCCAGATGGCCTAGTGGTTAAGATGCATGTAGGGACTTTTGCTTATCCAATTAAAAAATCCTATAGATCAATATTTAAAGGTCCATGAAGCTGAAACCTTATATGTCTTTATTCATTTTCCAATTCTGGCTGCCCAAACACTTGCAGATGTTCAGTTTCTGTCTCCACACAAGTTGATTTTATTCAGGTATCACACTCATGTAGCCCAATGTGTCTCAGAGATTTTTACAGTTTGTACAAACCCTCTACCCTTAATTTAAATAAAGAAAAACACCATTTCACAGACCAAAAAATGACAGAAAAATGGCCTCTCACAGTAAAGGACACCACCAGTACTACTTCAGATAAAATGTAAAATCAGTTATTTATTTAGCCATGATTATTTTATTACTTTCTTCTTCTTTGGCATAAATTGTATGTGTGTGTTTTGGGGTTAACAGGACAAATGTTGTAAAATATTTATGTTCCTGTGTTATCCAATAAAATACAGTCTATGACAGATAAAACTATAAGATCATAATCATTTCCCATAGATAACTACTCAGTTATTCATTAACTAGTATGTCAAACTGTAAATTGGCTGTTGACTGATATACTATTTAGTCATTGCACAGTTGTAACTCAACACATTTGAGTGCTCTCCTCAGCTTAACACTAACCTCAAACTTATTCTTCCTCCAGAACCGCATGCATGAGTCCCTCATGCTCTTCGACTCCATCTGTAACAACAAGTTCTTCATCGACACCTCCATCATCCTCTTCCTCAACAAGAAGGATCTGTTTGGTGAGAAGATCAAGAAGTCGCCGCTGACGATCTGCTTCCCAGAATACACAGGTGAATCCCCCTATACACTTTTATGCTTTATCTTGAGCACAGTGATGTGAGTGTTGGTTGTTCACGCCCTCTGTGTTTTCTCCATCTGCCTTCAGGTGCTAATACTTACGAAGACGCTACTGCATATATTCAGGTTCAGTTTGAGAGTAAGAACCGCTCGCCCAATAAGGAGGTCTACTGTCACCTGTGCCACAGACACAGGAAACATCCAGGTAGTGTTTGATGCCGTCACTGACATCATTATTGCAAACAACCTTAGAGGGTGTGGCTTGTACTGAGGCCCGGCCAAGCACAGAGGTTGTCATGGAGAGAATGAGGCGTTAATAATGATACTTTTGATGATACTTAAACATAAATATATAATTCTACACGTCCAAATGGACCTAAAGAGCTGCCGTCAGACACCACACTGGGTTATTGCCATGATTTGTTCTCTTCCTCTTACTTTGATTCCAAGTTACAACCCCAGTTTTGTCTTATCAGAGTGTGTTTTTGAGCAAAGTGATTCATATTTTGTTGATGACTGCGTCAACAACTGGGAAGGCCACAGCACCAGGGCTTTATTCAGCTCAAGTCTTGATTTGAAAATCTCAGCCCAGAAATGCATCATGAGGGTCATGTAAAGTCATTTTTAACCAGAATGCGGATATAGTCCTGTTCCTTATGTGATATTTTTTGTACAAGTCTCGAGACGTATATCTCTACTGAAAACAGCCTCTGGTGCTCGGTTTGAAGGACTGCTGCATGTATGGAGACGGAGGTGATAAAAAGACGATGTTGGGGATGTACTCTATTTGTGGCTAAGGGTCATGGCTGGAAATAAGGAGGCTAATTTCACAGAAGGGACAAAGCTCTCCTCTCCTTCAGACCCGCTCATGCCTGAGTAGCCTACAGGTTTTGTTTTCTTTTACTATAAAACATAATGAAAGAGAGGACTCTTCTGTTCAGAGCGGCTGCCTGTTGCCATTGGCCTTCTGTAGCATAAGAAAATGCCTGTCAGCCAATAATATCTTAAAAACAAACAAACAAAAAAAAAAACTGTCATATCGGTTCCAACCAGCTAAGAACAATGAATAGGGATTAGGATCTGAAATTATAGCCCATACTTTCAACTAATATTATTTAACAAACAGATTTAACATTTTATTATCATCAAATTATTTATTTAAGCCTCATGCCCTCCATGCCTCCTCCTACCTCCTGAAACCCCATGCCACATATTTATTTGCTGTCATGAAAAACTGGGGTACACCGATACCTGCCTAGAGATCAGAGGGTACAAAGCAGCTCTCCAGTGACATCTTGTTCTCTGTGTGATGCTTTACCCTTCGCTGGCGGCCTCTGTCTGGGGACTCGGGGGTTTTTAACTCTCTTCTTCTCGGATCAGTAAACAGGGAACCATTAGCCATTTTCACCCATGCACCCGAAAACTCATCTTTCCATCCCTGTATACTCTTTATCTGTCACATATCAGTCCTCATGTCCAATCTCCATTTTCATCTTAAAAACACCTGTACTGTATATATATATATGATTATACCAGATTTTTTTTTTTTTTTTTATTGTGAATGTTTTTGTGCTGCACCCCATCTTATTTAGTAGTTTATTGATTGCTCTCATGTGGAATGTTTGTGCTGAGCCAATCGAATGTTGTGTTTACATTAAAGCCACACTTTTCCTAACTACCCCTGTGTGGATGGTCTCAGTCTGTTAACAGCAAACAAGGTGAGGGGTTCATAAACTGTACGATCGCAGCGCTCTCAGCAAAAGTTTAACCTGGCTAGACCAGGAAATTAGGCTGAATATTGTGAGGATGGGCCAGTTTTACTGGACACAGCTTAGCAGTAGCGTCGAGAATATGTATAAAAGTTTAGGAACAGGTCTTGCTCAGCGATAGGGCAGCTCTTTGTGAAATGTGGTGGATGTCAGGGATCAGGTGTGTTACACAGCAGCTCTCAGTTTATTAGGTTAAGTGTTTCATCATCACAGACAAGGAGCTATTCATATATTGAATGACTAGGCTGGATCAGCGGTGTGACCTGCTTCTGTCAGTTTAATGGGTATGAAGTTCGTTACTGCTCTGTTTCACTGACAGCTGCAGAGCTCCATTCCTCACTCAGTGTGTCCTCGTTTCTCAGAGCCACTTACAGGTTCACAATTTGGAACTCCCACCGCCATATAATTACTGACATTTTTAATTACATATGCTCATATTTTACAGTTAATTCAAATCAAACAGTTCATTCCCACCCTGCCCCTAAAGCTGAGCTGTAGCTCTGACATAGACTGGCATCAGCTGGGGGTAGAGCAGAAGGCTGTCCTGACTGAAATCTCCTTGAAGAGCAATGAGCATCTTTGTTTCCGACAACAAAAAATAAAAAATAAATAAAAAACTGCTGCCATTTGCCCGTGTCTTGCTGACATCCATTTACAGGAATGTGGATTAAACCTGGATTTTGCTGAGCTCTTTATGAACTGCATCACAAGGTGGGTCACTGGGATCCAGCACACTGGTTCATGAGTTACAATCTCAGCCTCTTAATATCTTCACTTCTGAAGTCGATGCGCAGCGCCAGAACTTGACGCACTTCTGCTGGGGTCAGCCGCCACGTCAGGGGGCCAGAATTAGGGCCCCAGTAATCCAAGATCTCAGTGACCTGCAGTACAAAGAGGTAAAAGTGAGCATGTGTAAACCAGGAAGTTTTCAGATTTTCACTTAAGTAGCATGCTGAAAAGTACAAGTATCTTTAGCTAAATGTACTTGTGGTTATTATATACTGTTCTATGTTAAATTACTAGAATAATATTATTGATTCATTAGTGTGTGATCAAATAGATGTAGTGGAGTAAAAAGTACCATATTTCCAATTGAGATGAGGTGGAGTCGAAGTATAAAGTAGTATAAAATGCAGATAACTCAAGCTAAGTACCTCAGAAATGTACTTAGTCACATTCCACGACTGGTATAAAATGGCATATATGTTAAGATTAAAACATAAAATTTGCTTTGATACCAATGTATATTCTGTGTAAAACAATAAAAATTACCCGCTCCAGGTTGAGGATGGTAGCCATTTGGGTGAGACGAGCAAACTTATCCCGGATGGTCCAGGTGGTCACAGTGCTGAGGTACGCCACCAGAGACCGTAGCTCTTTATCAAACTGCAGCCCTCCAAGCTACAACAAAATGATCACCATGGCGTAAGGCAACAATAAATGTGAATATATCATATATACAGCAATATTTTCTTCAAGTATTTTGTTAAGATTGTTAGAGGTTTCCTGGAAAACCATGCGGCTCAAAGTAGGAAGATGCTAATGTGCCCAAAGAAAGCACTCTCTCCTACAAGCCTTTCTGGACTCAGTAATAAATCATTGCCAAGGCTTTTTCATCATGTATATCAGTGATGTGATGTGATGCACAGGGAGCTCGGTGCCACCTGGTGGCCGAGCTCAGCTCCTCACCCTGCTGAAGGAGCATTTGAAGACCGTCTTCTCCATTTCAATAGATATCAAGCTGGTCATCAGGCTGGTCAGAGTGTCGTAGATGACAGGAGAGAGGGCTGTCTGGTGGGGCAGAATATGATTAAGAGAAAATGGCAAAAACATCAAGGAAGAGTACATCTAGTACATCGTGACAATACCAATGTGACAGCTAGAATGGTGCAGATACCTTGAACTCTGCCATGAGTTGCTCCAAGTTAACGATAAGCTGCTGCACCCAGGGGTCATTAGCTTCATAATCATTAAACTCCTCCTGTGAGGATCACCAGCAGTTACAGCAACATGTTTGATGACCTATATTTTATTTTTGTGCAGGATTCTGACACCGTTACCTCCTCTATGTTGTGTGAGATGGACAGGAAGCTGCTGATCCAGGGTTTGACCTGAGGCTTTATGGCTGTTGTATTTAACTCAGTCAGGCCCTCCTGTGAGACAAAACAACATTTGAGTGCATGTAACATCTACCACAGCGTATGGTACCATGAGTGGGTCTACACTTCAGGCCACTAAAATATTTAAAATTAATCAGGTTTTTCTCCCTGTGAACCGGCTAGTGTGCCGTCTTAAAACAGAGATATATATTTACAGACTTCAACAAAGCTGGATTGTGCTTCATATTATCCTGCAACTTTCCTAGCTGAAATCTGTGTGTGTCTTCCTACAGTTTTGTGGACAAATTTTAATTTGCTACCATCATCATGAGGATATTTTGGCTGGCCCTCACAGCTTCAAAAGGCAGTTTGAGGTTTAAGACTTGGTTTTAGGGTTCAGGTTAGAATCAGGTTTAGGTCTAGGTAAAGGGCTAAGGAATGCTTTATGTCAATGGGTGTCCTCACAGCTATAGAATGATCAACGTGTGTGTGTGTGTGTGTGTGTGTGTCTCCAACCTGTAAGAGATCCTTGAACTTAGAGGATGTGTTGACAAGGTCAGACAGACAGCTTTCAATCTTGGCTTGGTCGCCAGACCCGCCCCCCTGACTGAACAACTTGGAGCAGTCGTTCTGCAAAGCAAAAAAAAAAAAAAAAAATCCAAATAATGTGGAAAACTATAAATAACAAAATGAATAGAAAGGAGGCAGAGCAGTGGTACTGATGTGAAACTCACCTCAAGATTCATCTTTAGAGTTGTGATATTCTGACTGCACACCTCAACATTATTCAGAGTCACCTGAGATAGAAAGAAAAAAAGTGTGTGAATTAATTCTCACAGCCATTTTGGTTTGTTTAAAAGCTATTTTCTGCCTGAAGCTTTGAGAAAACACTGTCATTGTTTATCCCAGTAAAAAGTAATTCTCTGCCTGAATGCATTTGGTAATATTTTTGACTTTTTAATACCATTGCAGTGTCCTACCACCATAATTTAGATAGATAGATGCATGTAGTAATTTCCAAAAAGAGAAATTACTCTAAAATGAGTTATTTAAATAGTTTTAATGCCAAAATGCATAAATAAGAAACCATCCATCCATTATCCAGCAGTAACACTAGCCTCAAGAAGATGGCTAAATAAGAAACCATGAAACAAAAAACTAACGTAGAAAAGAAGCCTAAAGACTGATGTTATTTGTCATCAGCTGTTTTTTTAGACCTCATTCAAGCAACATATTGCATCGACTGCTTAAAAGCAAGGTGTGTATGTGGCTGCGTGTGAATGTGCAACTGTCTGTGTATCTTACCAGAAATGCAGCCTTGGCGTTTTCAGCGCTCTCAATGCCCAGAGTGTTGAACTTGCCCTGCTGCAGGCTGCTCTGCATCAGACTGACTGCACTGCTGACACCACGCTGGATGTCCTGAAGCGTTGTAGCCGGGAAGCCCTGCCGCAGCTTGTTGTACAACACCTCCCTGACAGGTAAAGAGACATAAACAGAGCAGCATGGGGCACAACCATGCATGAGTGCTGGGGAAATAAAAAAGTACAGAATATGTCAGCTGGACAAAGAAGGACTGAGCACCTGAAGTCGGACTCCAGCAGCGAGTTAGCGTGGTTGATCATTGCACACAGACAGTCAATGCTGGAGCTGGACAAAGCTCTACTGATGCATTTCTTCACAATGTAGAAACAGTCGTCCACCATGCTGGAGGTCAGCTGACCCTTTTCATATGTATCCATAGCAACAGCCTAGTGATGAAAAATCAGTTTATATACAGAAGGGTGGAAAATTAAAGACAAATCCTGAATAAATAAGTGGAAATAAAAAATAAAAAAAAAATTCAGGTCACTGATTAATCTGGGGATTATTTTATCTACCATTTTATTGACAAAATTGCACATTTTGACTTTCCAGAGTCAAAGATGGCGTCATCAGTGTCTTGTTTTGTCCAACCAACAAACCCAAAGATATTCAGTGAATTCACTAATGGTTGCAGTTCAAGGTTACTTTATGGCTTAATAAGTGTTGAACACAATGAGGGAACATGTTCTGTGAGAATGTTTCCTTCCTCCAACATAAGAGCACTGATGCTGCTCTGGAGACACTTTACTAAAAGTCTGTGTTGTTCACTTTATGTTAGTTTTATCTTTAATTTGTCACCCGGGTATAGTTCTGATGTATTAGATCTGATAATTGAACAACAATATAATATTGGCTTTCCTAATTGTTTAATAACAATATTTAGATTATTTTCATGAGTTATTTTTTTTTTAAGGGCCTTATGGTTACTTAATTGTCAAAATCAATCTCACATCTACTTGGAAAACATTTACACTTACTCTACTTCATAGAACTATATATTTGTACTTCACAGAATTTGTGTTGCAAATTTATAAGAATCTCACTCACAAAAGGACAGTTTTAAGAAAGTGGAATTAGATATTGGCTTTTTAATTCCATAATTCTCATTTCCTTGTCAAAACCTGGTGCCTACATTACCCACAATGCAATATTTTATCAAATATACACTTAGTTGGCAATTTATTAGGTGCACCAAGCTAAAACTAATGCAGTCTAATCCAAGTGTCCTGCAATAAATCCTCCCTTCATGAAGGTGAACTGTACATACACTGAACTATAGAAAATAACACAAAACAAAACTGAAAACTTTACCTTGTTGACAGACTCCCTCATGTAGTATTCTTCCATTGGAATATAGTAGCCAATCAGCTCCTGCATCATCCTGCT